CTGAACTAATACTGTAGTCCCGTTTTTCTTTAAGGTAGAAGGTGGAGTTAACCCTTCAGCACAAGAAGGGGGGGGGGGGAAACCCAAACCAAATCAAAACACAGACAGACAAAAAACCAAACCCAACAATCCCAAGGTGGATTAAAGGTTAAGAGAGTAACACTGGTTGCCCCTTTTCCTTCTTTGGGACACTTCAGCCTCTCCTCACCTGTCCCATACTTTTTATTTTTTAGCCTTCATTCTCTATATGTACATATATAGTTAGTTGTTAGACCTCAGAATAGTAATTGTGGAATATAAGATACTTTTTTTTTTTTTTTTTTTTTTTTAGTCCCATTGACGACTTCAGCCAGAACTTTGATGTGGGATGACTGAATTATCATCTGTGTGAACTTTCTGTTGCTCTGTTGCAGGCTCCCCTTCCTCTAGCAGCAATAGCCAAATGAATTGCATGTTTACCTCTCTGCTGCCATGATTTACAGTGAATGGTAAACTACCAGTGATTTCAGCAGGTGCTGAAAGGAGATGGGGGCTGTGACAGCTGGAAAGCAACTAAGTTAGTTCTGATATACAAAGGATAAGAGTCAAAAAGGTGAATTCCAGCCAGTCCCATTATATAGTCTGGAACGATGCTGGAAATGGTTAGAATCCATTGCCTAGGAAATCCTGAATTTCACTAAAGGACGTAAGTCTCTGCCTGCATAATGTAAAGTTACCAATGAAACTTGGCTGAAGTGCAACAGAATCAGTTTAAATTTATGCACTTTTAAGGTCCAGCACTTGACTTTCCTTGCTTTATCAGCATTTTAAACTTTTTAACAAGGTTCATGTCTAACTAGACCCCGATATCACAGCACCCTGTGAAGAAAAATTCAATTAGTTTGTCTTACCCCAAATATTAGAGAATACACCAAAATAATTTATAGCCCCATCTGTTAGGATAGTGGTCGCTAAACCGCCAAACTACATTAAACAGTTTGCTCCCAAATCAGGTAACGGGCTGCTCAGCATTTTAGTAAGAAAACAGTCTGCATTCTAAGAAACATTATTACCAGCTATTAGGTGTGGTAAGAATCACACTGTACAGCCAGGTAAATAGGGCAAGTTCCAACTTCAGAGTGGTTTCAGACTGCATCTTAGAGCCTGTTTCTTAAATTGCAATTTGGGTTAGTAATTCAGTTGGAGTTACTTCATGGTGAGTACTTCTGTACCCATAGAGAAAGGTCTGGTGGAAATCTGACTGCACAAGCTTGAGGTTCAGTGCTACTAGTCTACCACTGCTTTTTCCAGATGGGACAGTCTTGAGGATTATACCCATGTTCCCAACTTCCTTCTAGGATAATATCCCTCACAGTGTGTTTCAATCTTAATTTTGATTATTTCAGTCTATAAAGTAGTTGTCAGATGATTGGTCATCCCTTTGATTTGAAAGCAAGACAACAGCTACTTTTCTGAGCATGAGCAACAGTACCACTAGTAACTGAACCATCCTACCAGCCAGAGAGATAGAGCAGACAGCTGCACTTTTTTTTGTACATTCAGACCTCCTTCAGACTTTGTGTTTACAGTGTCCCTTTGGAGAGCTTTGCTTTTATGATTGCACAGGTGCAAGTTTCAAGTTAACCCTGAAAGCAAACTGCTCAGAGGTAAAGCAAAAAAGCGTTCACAAGCTAATTGCAAAGATTTGAGAAGTTCCTAAAACCAGTTACGAAGGTTGATGCAAAAATGCTCAAGCTAGATCTAATGCCAGAGATGCCACAAGAGAAAACTGGTCACTACTGCCTGGTTATCAATATATGTGTTAAAATAACCGGCAGTGGTATTAAGTGGGCTGCAGTCGGCTCTTCGCAGCACAGGTACACACTTAACTTTGTTATGCAGTCATATCAGAGAAAAGAATTTTAACTGCTCCCCCCATCCTCCAACCTAAGTTGGCCAATTCTTCATGATAGTCTTCGATGAAATTACAGAATCCATAAAAGACTACAAGACTTCTCAAGACTCAAAAAGACTGAGACAACATTTAAAAATATATTTTAAAATAATTAAGATTTAAAAGGTGTTCACAAAAAAAAAAAGCCCCTGGACATAATTTGATGGGGGACTTGGAAGAGACTACACAATGTACTGCCTAGAAAACAGTGGTTTAACTTTTAACTTAAAAGGGGTAAATACAAATGAAAATGAAGTGTGTCTCATTTTCATCTTTGACTTCTGTCATTCTCATCCACACTCTTTAACTTCAAAAAAATTTCTCCTCAACCACATCTTTTCTTAATGCTCTATTTTCTTGTACCGACTTAAAGCACAAACACACACTCACAGGTAGTGAGAAACACAGGTACAAAGACCAAGAGCAGCACACAGGGCAGGTACGTATGTATGAAATCAGTTATTTCATGTGCTTTAATTAAGATGCACTGTATGTGAAATCTTACCTGAAAAATTAATCCCTCAACTGGAATGGCTAAGCCTTTCCCCAAAAGAACACTGCTGGCCATAATCAGCCTTGGACAATGAAGCAAAGATCTCCTAAATCTGAAAGTCTAAAAATAAATTCAGTCTCAAGAAATCGAGCGCAGAGGTGCACTCGTGAAAGGCAGATGAAGGGAGAGGTATGTTCTGTTACATGTTTTTGGTAGCAAAATCTTTTTGTGAAATGTTATTGCTAACATGTTAATTTTGCTCTGTAACATTTGGAGACAAACCTACTAAGTGGGGAGAAAGGGAAAAAGTCTAGACATACCTTCCAGCAAATGCAAACAGTACCCCAAAAGTCCTGGATCAGTAACAATCACTTATCCAATGATAAATGGACCATGGGACAGACTGGCCTCTGGTCACAATACACCACTAATGCAAGTTCCTCACTTGAGTCAGCATCTCTACATTTTAATGCATTACTTGCAGCATCATTTCCTAATCTTTTTTCTTTCCCCCCCTTAAGAAACTCACAATGAAGTCATATTGCCTTTCCAGTGTTATTAGAAGTAACTCTTAAAGCTTCCTTGAGAGATGAGCATTTCTGAAGCTTTTTTTGCATAAATATTAGCTTTATTGGAAAATAGTTCACTTAACCAACCAGATTAATGCACACCAAATTATTCTAGTTAAAAAAACTCCAAACCAAATAAACTAACCTAAAATATTTTGGAAAATAATCTGCTTCGGTTACAGTAGCAAACACATCATGGTAGCCTGAAACAAGTTCTTGAGGGTGTCTTCATCAGCTAACAGGCAATCAATTCATGTAAACACAGAAAACACCCTGTAATATTTGTATTTATGAATGTACCTGGAGTATATAGAATTAGTTTTAAAAAAAATCTGTATAGAAATATGCACAAAACATTGGTTTACATATAATTACAAGTTATGTAGATGTTTATATGATGGTTCATGCTTTTTATCCATATATTTTAATTTACAGAGTGTGCATTAGAACGAGAACTTTTTTAAGATTTACACTGTAATTATTTTCTCCACATTCAGGATAACTGCACTAGAAATACGCACACACACCAAGTCAAATCTTTAATGGTATCCAGAACTCTGCATGAGCTGCATTTTTAGAGCATCTGCAGAGATCAGTGAAAGGCACCGATTCTTAAGATAACAAGTTAAGACCACAATTAAGTTTTTACATCTAAAAGGGAATTTTGTTACTAGATAACCCAAAAAGGTATCAAAATAATGAAACAACTCTTTTCTGAACCAACTTTATGTTTCAGATTTGTTGTTTGGGAGTTTAGGTCAGATTTAATTCTTCAGTGAACAACCAGACCACGAGCCTCAGACTAGCTTGAATCTTAGATATGGAAAGAAGTAACACGCATAAAAGCACACATGCATTTTTTTGTTCAAATCTATTTTCGATGCTCCGTTAATGCCACCGCATGTCAGAGCCAATTTAGTATTTAGTTCTGCGACTCATGGGATATGATCGTTCTGATGTCACGCTCTCAGTGGTATTTATTTCCAGTTTAATAAGATCTTCTTACTCCTCTGCACAGCTTTTGATAATCTATAGCTCTATAATGCTGCAACTCAAGCCTGGTCACAAGCCATTTAATGTCTATAAGGGGTTTGAGGAACCTTCTCGCCAAAGATTAGCAACTGCTGGCTCACAATATTTATATTGCCAAACAATCTTCAGGAAGGAGCAGCTATGATTTTTTTAGAGCCAGCTAAGTAAAACAAATGGAGAGATGTTCACAAACAGAAAGGGGCCGCCAGTACTTCAGACTGGAAACATTCTGATCACAGCTAAATTCTACACAAACACTGCTAACTCATGCACTTCTTCAAAGGAATATACAGCACAAAGTTAACTACAGTATCCAAACTTACATAAAACACCTCCACAACTGTCTAACCTTGTTTTACAGCTCTGCACGAATGGCCATACTTTGTATCATTCTAACAATCTTAAGATTAGAGACCAAATAAATGGAAAAACTTTGGGAGACCTTAACATCAACTGTCAGAAAACAGAGAAAAGTTACATTACAAAAATGGGAAGCCAAGACTGTACACAATCTTAAGTGTTCATACTGCTTTTCATATCCTTACTTCATAAATCTGTGAAAAATCATTTAACTATAAAACTTTAGGTAGAAAAATAACTGTAGATCTTGTCTAACGTGTTATTAACATGTACTAGTATCAATTGTTTAGTCAAGATACAGTGCAATACCTCTTTGAAATATATCGCAAAGAGTTCAGAAAGAGAGAGCAAGAGTACCTCATTCCTGGCATTCGACAGTAACGAATAAATGGAATATTAATTCATGGAGGTAAGGCTGAACAGCTAACTGTACTTCCAAATGGAACCCAACTTAGTTCATGTTAACTTCAAGCACAGAAAGTCCTTGAGATGAGGCAAGCCAGAAGCAACAGTTATCTAGACCTCAAGGAACTCTCTATGCCTTCAGGATACAAATAGTAAATACAACCACAGCATTTTCATCCAATAAAAGAATAAGCCAAAGAAAGAAAAATAAATGTAAACCAAGTTTATTTTGCTTTTAAGTAGTGTTCTTTAAGCACTACAGCATGGTAAACAATGTAAATTAGTATAAGTCATCTCAAAAGCCAGAGGTTTTTTTTTTTTATTATTATTTTATGAGTTGTTAAAAAGATGCAGCCTATTCTAACAGGATAAATATTTTAACCATTTCACTTCGAGTTAATGAAGGCTCACAAATGAGCAACACTCCTCATTGAGGAAAACAAAAAGCTGTTGTCGACAAAGCGACAGCACACACACAAAAACAAAAGAACTGTGTAAAAATAACTAACTGTACTGTGTTCCCATACTCTTTAGAAGTTGCTTTACAATGGGATGATATGCACATTATCTTGCTGCAAACTTGCCATACAACTTGCAAATACATGTAGCCTAGCCTTACCACTCAGTCCAAAAAGCTGCTAACTGATCAAACGAAATGCAGCACTATAATCCTCTGCTTAACAATTAATTCAATCTCCTTTACTCATTACCTTTTCTCCTAGACTGCAAGACAGACTAGAAAGAAAATTATCCCGAATTAAAAATCAATACTCTTACAGGAAATTGTATTATTTTGCAATATAGTCTTTTACAAGTTATGTTTTGCCTATTTTCCCCTTAGCCACAAAATGGGCATGAAGTAATTACTTGGAAAATGCCTTAATTTTTCAACTTCATGCAAATCTAAATAAAGATGACCAAACTAAAGCTTAAACAATGGAAGGATATTTCACAGAAAATTTCTTATACAAAAAACACATAAGAAAAAGGGCCACTAGGTGACATTTTAATTTACAAATTGGCATCATTTTGGTCAACAAATATGCAAGTGCTGTTTTCTTCTATCACAACAAAGTAGCTGTACAGAAAGAAAACTGCAAAACTTGTTTTATTTTATTTTTTTGTTTGTTTGTTTTTAATCACACATCTCCTCGGGAATTTCATGTGGATTAAGGATGCCAGGTACAGACATCTGAAGTTTATGCTTCTCCTCTTGAGCCTGCCGAAGGGCTGTTTCTCTTTCCTCCAAGAATAAGTCTGATGTGTCTTCACCTGCAAATTCCTGTATAATTCACATAAAATCATTAGTTTATTGTCAAATGCTTGAGGCAGAGTAATAAGCTTCCAAAACCCAGAATGATACAGAAAACATCTTCCCTTCACGCTCCCTGCCAGACTATTTGCTTGTTTAGCTTTCTGTTCCTAAGGTCAGAATATAAAAGGAATGTGAAATATTTTAAGATTTTCACTATGTGTTATAGAACAGGATGCTATAGTAACCCAGCGTTTGGAGCGTAGCGCTATTGAATCCTAGGATCTCTCAAAAAACTAAAAGCACAGCATTACTCTAGCAAGTTTCAAAACATGTCCCAGTCTGAAGCAGAACTAAAACAAAACACGGTTAAAAATCAGCTTGCTTTATTTCCCATTAGAGTCAGTTCTGCAGCCATCTTAAGACATATGAATTGTATGCACAGCACAAAGCACAAGTGATGACATTTTAGCCCAATTTATAAAATTCAATCACACTGTATATGATACACCATCCAGAGTCACGAAAGCCATTTGTCAGAGTTCTTGCTACGTTTTAAACAGCTGCAAAAGAACTTATAGCACCTCTCCTATGAGGACAGGCTGAGAGAGTTGGGGCTGTTCAGCCTGGAAAAGAGAAGGCTCCGGGGAGATCTTCCAGTACCTGAAGGGGCCCTACAAGAAAGCTGGGGAGGGACTTTTCATAAGGGCAATTAATGACAAAACAAGGGGAAATGGCTTTAAGCTG